ATTTTCAAAAGTTTAGAAAATCCTCACCAAACTGGAGCCCAAAGACTTTACAATATTCAACTTCCAAACATCATAACAACATAAAGATGAAAATGTCCTAATCCAGTTATAACCGGTGACAGTACTGTAGGTAACTCTAGTCCATTTCCCAGGGACTGGCACGTTTCTTGTTTACGTCCATCATTCGCTGACCCCTGACTATAGTGACGTGCTGGCGTTGCCAGTAGCTCACTGTGCTGTTGTATACACGCCGCCGTGCGCCATCTCTTTCTTCCCATCATTGAGAATTCGCCAAGAGATTGACATAAAATTCGCAATATTTACATGCAACATTGTGTGCGAACTATCCAGTCATTGCGTGCATGTACATATAAATAGTACTAGAGATAGTGTATTGGTACATCAAGTTGAGTTGAAAAACGCGGATTCGACAGAAATGAGATATACTGTATCTAAATATGCTTTGAATTAATGAATAATAACTATTCTGAATTAATTATTTAACTTAATATAAGCTTGTTGATGTGTGATAATTTAATGTACATTTAATTTGCAGTTATCAACAATTATTCTTTTTATAATAATGACAAAATAGTGACTAAAAAATATAAATCAAGAGAGTTTCAAATTAGACAGTTTTCGTACCTAGCTTTTAACTATTTCAGTGTAGAACCGTCCTCTTAAAAATTATTAACAACTTAAACACTAAAAGGTAGTGGTTTACAAAGTATAAGAATTTGATATTTAATTGTACGCAGAACCATCAACAATTATTGACAATTGACAATCGACAAAAACAGAATAATTATAAATAGGCTAAAATATAAGAATTACATTTTATACATTCACTGGCTAAAGGAATTGTGTGCTTAGGTCGGTCTCAAAAACATGTGTTGTGTTTTCAGGATGGATTTTTGTTAGTTTTCTTACATAAATTCGATAACTATCAGCATCAGAGACCTTCACAGAGATTTTACAAGATCGCCTCCCACTGAAGCACGATATAGAGATTCTCAGGCTATCCATGCATTGTTCCCATCAACAATAACACCGTCAACTTTTTAAAACGTGATCCCCGAATAGTTTATTATTTAGTTAACTTTCAACTGCTTGCAATGTGTACATTGTGAAAAATAAGAAAATCTCGAAAGTTTTTTTTTTTTTTTTTTTTTATATATAGTTTTGAAATACATACATACAAATAATAACTTCTTGCTAAGGTAAAGAACATGACCTTAAAAACAAAAACAAAATTCGTATTAATATGCTATTCTTTTTTCCCATATTATGAGAATATTTTTTTTAATGTCTTTATTACTGGTACCCTTATTAAATTTAATGTTTTCCAACCGATATTATGTTATATTAGCGTTTCCTTCGTTATTTTCCTTCTTATAGTTTATTAATCAACGACATTGTACATATTATTTAAGTTTTAAGTTAAGGGCAATTTATTTTTCCGTCCAAAATTTTTAGTAGTAGTGAGCGACATAAAGTCTTTCCCACATGCAGATGAACACACTTTATTGTTTTAGCCACTATATTGTACCATTGCACTTATATTGGTTTTGTAAAATAAATTAACTTATTACCTTACACTATTTATGAACAGCCCATACAATGTAATAACTGAGAAAACACACCACCTTTTTAAGAACACCTTACAATTTTAGATTGTACTTACATCCCGACAGTACAGTTTGGAGGTAAAACATGTGGAAACTTTGGTTAATTTCTCCTCAAGCAGAATTAATGTCCAGAGTGCTTTGGAGTTAATTTCGCCCCACAATTGCAGAGTTTTCTCGCCTGACAGTTGCGGTCACATTCATCACACATTCCCTTGGCTGTGGATGGGCAAATCAAGTCTATGCTGGGCTCACCTACCTCTGTGCAGTGTTCATGGCTAGATAGGACGGGTTTACGTTTACTTATTGTTCCCTTCCATAAAATATAACTTTAATTTTGCGGATGCCAAGGCTTCACAAAGAAAACGATTATTCAAACGATTTCGCAATCCAACACGGTTGGACCATGGGGCTGGGTATGATTGGGTCAAATTTTGGTTTATCCATTTTTGAAACTTAAACATTAAATCTTTCAATAACTCCCGAAACTATTTGGTAGTGCTTGCTAAAACAACTAATTCACAATATTGAAATGTTATTGTACGCTTAATAGTTACAAAGACATTCCCAAACAAACTGCAAATTTGAATTACATGTCAATCCTTTGTAGGGTAAACTGTTGTAGTTTGTTTGTTTATAAATTTGTATCAAATTATTTATTTTTTATTTCATACTTAACTTTTTAAATTTTACTAAGACAGTTTATTACCTTTCCTGTTGCAAACCTAAGCAATCATAAAACTTATGCTATTTTAATAAGGAATTTTCAGTTTTAATGAGATATTTGAGTGAAAATATAATAACACAAAATAGTAATTCGCTTTGTCTTCAGGTTTGCTGTGGGGGGCTGCTTTAACATTATTATATTGAAACATTAAAAACTACTTATTCAGTAATTTTTATGTTTCCTAATTTTGTGTGATGCAAAGAAGCCTGTCTTCTATAAATAGAATATACCCCCGCCGCAGCAAACCTGCAGACTAAGCGAATTTCCATTTAACTGATTGGATTTACACTGAAATGTCTACTTAAAAATATAACATTTATTCTTGATTTAAATAGAATTAGTTTAACAAGTACTTAGGTTTGCTGCATCAGGGAGGGTAAAACTGTTTTTTTTTTTTTTTTTGTAAAATGTGAATAGTTAGTAAGAAATGAAAACATTTTCCAAATTCGATCAAAATATGTTCGCAAACTACAACAGTTTACTTATTCTCCATAAGAATAACATGGGAATTTTAAATTTACAATTTTTTTGAATTTTCTCCGTAACCATTAGGCGCATAATAACGCTTCAATATACTAAATTATTTTTTTTTTTTAAGCTCTACAAAATGGTTTGGAAAGAAATTGCTAAATTTTATGTTTTTTTGGGTCAAAAATGGGAAAAACCTATTTTTACCCCATAAAACCCCCCGTAAACCCCCGTTCCCATGGTCCGATCATGCTGGATCGCGAACTCGTTCGAATAAACGTACGTTTACACGTTTGTACCAAATTTCATCAAAATCGGATCATTTTTGCTCGAGTTATCGTGCTGACGGACACATATATATATAAAATATAAAAATATATAAATATATATATATATATATATATATATATATATATATATATATGAATTTGAACGGATGGTGTTTTTGGCCTCTAGGGACCTCAAAACGAAAAAAAAATCGGTCCCGCGTCCAGGTCTTACCATGAGTACTACGGTAATAGCTTATTCCCTATATGGGAAATTCGCTAAAAGAAAGTTAATGATGATTTTGACAGTTAGCATATGAGCTAAGCATGCCTTAACAAAGCCAATGATTAACTTGAACTCTTTTCTTGACAGTTCTGTACAGAACCTTCGTTCTTCATTATTAACTCGTTTGTAAAAGTCGTTTGAAGTGGAGTTCTTCGACAACATATATGACGTATGCGTCATGTTTCTCTTATTTTTGACACATCCATTTACTAGGCAAAAGGACATCCATCAAACAGAAGACTCAAGCATAACACAATAGGTTGATTGCTGTAGAGTTTTTTGTTGTTAAAAATATTGTTGGTCAACCAATATTTATCTTAATGTTTGCCTGAATTCTTGATTACTATAATGAAGAGCACGGTCAAACATTGAAGTATTGAGGTATAAACCAATATTGCTCTTGAAATTAGACTCACAAATAGTAATTTGATAAATACCGCTTGGCGAATGAAGTAACAGCTTCATACTTCAGGTTTAAACGGTGTTATGCGATTTGGCGAAAATGTTTATTACCACATCCTTAGTTAGAAGTTCATTTTTGGTGATTGTAAGATTATGTTATTGCGATTGGTAAATCATAAAGTTTCATGATGTTTCGGCTTTTAATATCTAATCTGATCGGTCTTAAGGCAAGAAATTACTTTTAAGTCACAATATCAACAAACATCACACAGGAATTTTGTGAAAACTTTGTTTTCAACAGTCAAGATGAAAATTTTCTGCTACAATCATTTAAATAATATTCGTATTTTCCCCCCTTTAATAGCTTGTATATGAACATAATTGAACACAGAAATACCTTCAGTCTTGAAAAAATTATTGTGTTTATGAAAATGTAAACCATATTTATACTCGAATTGTAATTATTATTAATTTAATTTTACGGAAATTCATTTAATAGGACCTCTTAAATTTTTTTAAATAATAACATAATAAACTTAATGCAATTCCACATATAAAAAAAACCATCAACGAATACCTTGAACACTTTGAAGTAGAGATCATTTTGTCAGCAACAATCACTTGTTCTAGTTTCAAAATAAGCCGCAAGTTTGCTCTTGTTCGGAGGGAAATCTCAGCTAAACTCACAAGAACCTTATCTTCCTTTTCACAACCTGCCAGCTGGTTTCTTGGTTATACTGTATAGTTTTGTTGTACACAGTGGGTAATCTTGTGTCAAAATGATAACTGGGTCATGGTTGATGTTTGTAAAGGACAACTAATTTATGTAAATTCAGGATAATCTTTGGGATAGAATAATTATTACTTTTTTTAACGTAAAGTTGTTAAAAGTGAGAGTAGTAAAGTTGAATAGCTTAAAGGCTATGGAATTATTCATGAAAATGGTACAAAATGCGATTCAATACATTCTTTTCACCTGTGTTTAGGTATTGCTGTATTATAACACAAAGTACTATAGGCATATCAATATTTGGGCACATCACCATTTATACAAATTATATCTGCGATTTCATTAAATGTTCGAAAACTCTATTGTACTTTTTCCTCTCTTAGTGACTGTAAGAGTGGGGGGAGATGTAAAGACTGAAAAAGTTATTAATCTTCATTTGTAAAATCCCATGTTTTCTGCTAAATTTTGACTCGGGTACGTCTTCACTACAACATAAAATTTGGTGGCTTAGTTCAATCAATAATCCTTTATGCCTGTTAAAAAACACACTTTACACGTTTGCTTCAATCAACAAAATCCTTGATATACTTATTTTAAAATATCATCCAGTACAAATTTTACTCAGATTTCGTTCAAAACCCCAACAGGACGACTACCAGGGCGGGGGAGGGTAGTGATGGACAGGACACAGGTTTATCAGTGATAACAATGATAGTGGAGATAAGCTAGAGGGGAGCGAGCCAGTCGGTGTCGCGTCGTCCGCGCGTGTGCCTCACCATGTGCGTGCGAAAGTCGGCCAGCTGCTTTGGATATATGGCAAATAATGTACGAGTGTTTAGATGATATTGTGACGACATTGTATTTAGCATACTGTACTAAGAAATGTGCGTTGGTTGTGTTTAGGAGGTTTGTGGCGGTTTGAAATCAATCAGGGTAGCAACGAATGTTATGCTTGTGTTTTGATAGATTTTTAGAGTATTTCAAACTTTTAAACAAAGTGTACAATAGATAGGGTAGTTAACTGTGTAAATTGTGTAACTACATTGTCTAAAGAAATTAGTTTTGTAGTCAAGTATATTTCAATTTTACACACAATTTATTCGTTGAATCATTCAACAAACATTTACATACACTTATGTCTGAAAATATGTTGTTAATTTTATTAAACACTTTAAATTACGGTTTTAGAGTAGCTACCTTTACTTGGCATTCAGAGTTTTGCTTGTAACATTTTGCGAACTGAGGTTTAACTGCAAGAACACAAACTGAAACCGTTTTACCACAAATCTATTGAGTTTCTTGTTAACAATTACAAGTTACACAAACTTACACAAGCCACATCGCTGTTTTTCTGTCTACAATATCAATCCTGGCATTATTTGTTAATCAATGTCAAAATTTTCAAAGGCAAATAATAACACAGTGAATTTGTAACAATAGAAAACTAGTTTGGTTAACAATTTTGGTTTTCCTCGAAGTTTTTGATATAGGTACGTATTTATAATGCATCTTACTACACTCAGATTAGTCGTTTGAAATCATTCCTGTAAAATTAAGCGGTATGTACTATAAATTGTATTATTCTCGTAAAACGTTAGAGTATATTTGTATTAACGAGTGCATTTAAATATTGACCAAGCAAACATTATTAAGTTTTAGGTTATTAAGTTATATTAGAACTGTGTATACCAAATTCAATTACGTATTTAAATGTATTTTCCCTGGACTCAAGATTACAGAATTTTAATAATCAATTAGTGCCACAAAGCCTTTTAATGTCTTTTTACACACAATTAAGGTAACCAAAGTGTGAAATAATAAAAATCTGACCATTTCAAGCCTGAAATCTTTATTCTATTGATATTTTACCTAAGAATTTCTTTTTTCGTACAATTAATAAATATGTTTGATTAGTCTAATTATTAAAACACTTAAAAACAACAGACCTTTTTTCTCTCGTAGAAAAGCAAATTAAAACATGCTTTCAAAGTTCAGCTTTAAAATTGAATTCAAACCATTATAAAACAATACACTTTAAGAATTAATTAATTAATCTCGGTGGTAGAATTATCTTCGAACAATTCTTATGTATGCAAAAGCAAAGAATTTTACGAAAACATTAAAATCAAATTACATTATCAAGTTTTATTTTGTTGTTAAGACTGTTAAAATTAGATAAGACTGTGTTCTCTATTTTAGAGTAACATACCATATAATTTCACAATAAGTCTGAGGTCTTTGAAACTCGCTGTCAAATTTTAGCCCCATTGGTATTACTATAACATTTATTTCGTCAAAGTTATTCTCTTCAAACATTTAGTTTTAAACAGAAGCAATGTTGATCCCTCACTTGAACTGCGTATTTAGATGGCTGTGTTTTTCAATTGTTGTAGAACGAAATGTCCGTTTCCGTTTGGCAATCGCCAATTTAGGCCCACGCCCAAGTTCTACAGAGATAGCAAGGCACCGTTTACACAGTATAAACTCACTTAAACCTCTATATACAAGAATACTGCCTAAAAAGTCTAGCTTTATGCATACAATTAAGGTAACCAAAGTGGGAAATAATAACAATCTGACCTTTTCAAGCCTGCCACCTGTTTTTCTACTATTGATATTTTATTAGTCAAAACCATGCTTAAAAAGTTAATAAGGTGTAGTTCAATATATTAGTATGTAAAAATGTGCAATTCGTTTGTTAATTTGGTTTTTTATTGAGTTTTAATACAGGAATTACTGACTATTCAAAAATAGTACACAAGTCCATTTTACCAGTAAACAAGTTTTAAACTATGACCTTACTAGCAGTAAATTGTTGATTTAAAAACCTCATAATTTACAATTTAATTTACCTCTCAATTAATTGCTTTCTAGATGTTTACGTTATGGTGGGTTATCGTTGAAAATAATGGATATGTTGATGTAGTCTTGGAAAAATATACAGGTGTAATATTCTAACAGGATCATTTTAATATTGTTAAGTCTCACAAAGAGATGATCAAATTTGACTTGTTATCAAGGGCCAATTGTTACCGAGGGTCTTCTTTATTGAGATACCACTGTTTATTAGAGGTTTTCGTTTAATGAAATACGATTGTCTTGACACAAACACACAGACCCACATATTTTCCTATGTATGATGGCGTTCATGTGGTCTTTTCTTAATTTAAATTGAAAGTTAACCACTAGAAAGGTTTTAGTTTGAAAGAATAAAATATAGCAATCACTACGCACGGTAATCCGTATTCCTTGTTTAAAGTAGACCGTCCTACATTCCGTATGTTACTTGTCACAACCATAACACTTTCCAAGCAAAACAACACGGCAGGACATTATATGGACATGATAATGCAGGAACATAACTAGGAATATCGCATTACATAGCTTGCCACTACGTAGGTGTACTGTAGGCGACGTTTGTGTGTGTGTGTCTAACCGCTGTGGGATAAACAGAATAATGCCAATATAATTTACAAGCTATTGAATCTATAAAACATAATCCGCTCGCCAAGTCAAATGATCTGCATAAGGCCCTCGTTACCGTAAAATTGATAATTATGGTGTAAAATAAAGGAGTCTTCGGCGGTGTATGTAAATTGTAAATTATTAACAAATTGGACTATCATAAACGACAATAATCGCACAGAAATGGCAACCAGCATCCTAACATTATTTATTTAACTTTGTGCGTAGACTACTTTAAAACATTTTTTATAAAGCAGTTTAGGTAAACCGATTTTTCAAATCAAGAAAGTTGATAGAAGATTCAAACTGTCATTGACAACTAAACAACCACCTATGCAATTATGCGGAAATCCAATGGAATTTGTTGCATACGAAAAAGGCTAGAAGAAAAATCAAAAGAACGCTAGCTCTTGAGGGAATAGAGCACGGTGCACTTCAAATAAAAGCTATTTTCGTACTCAACAGTTTTATATTCGCCTATAAAAAAGTCAACATGTTATTTACTATTAATGACTTTCCTCCTAAACATACTTCCTAATTTTCTAAATCTATCACAAATCACAAAATAAGCAAACTTGTATCTACATGTAATTCAAGCGATTCATACCATTACGATAACAGTATCTATAGGTTATCTTGAACGCTTAGTCATTTACCTATCGATTTCGACCGTCGAATTCGATCGTTCCAAAGCAGCTGGCTCTGTTAGATGGTACAATGTGTCTGAGACTTCTCCTCAAGTTGTCTTCCAACTGTGACGTCTTGCGAAGACTTGTGCCTAGCTGAGAATTGAACGTTGAACAAACAACATGAGAAATGTCGTTCAAGCAGTACATGGTGTTGTTCTTCATGTTCATGATGTATCTGTTCGTCGGCGCTTTCATCTTCTACTCGGTCGAAAGACCCGTCGAGGAGGATCGAAGAGCGCTGGCCAAGGCTGAGGCCCTAGAAATCAGAGGTGGGTCAAAGTGGTTTTACTCGAATGTAGTGATTATGGATGGTTGTTTTATAGTTATTCAAGCAGTATATCCAACAGAATAGCATGTTAATTGATTTATTGGAGCTACAAAATTATTATTTTCACTATACGTCACCATAGACTGATTAGCTGTGGCAAAGACATTTGATAAGAGTGCGGAAGGCTGTTCTCGAATCAACACTGTTTGGCATATTATCCTAAGAGTCTGAGCTACCGAGTACGATTGATTATATATTCATGGATATGTCCTGAAATTAATCGTTAACTTAGAATTAAAGACTCAAGAGGGCTGTTGGACTGTTCACATATTATTGGTAGGTTGGGAGACATAAGTATTCCTTTGCCAGAAACAGTTAAGATTCAGCATGTTCAATCTCTAATTCAATCAGTTTCGGCAACAATTAGTGAAAAGAGAACATGTATAGGAATCGCAAAGGTATCACTTTCATTTGTTTTCACTGCTGCGATTGAAGCTTGAATTCTCTCAGTTACCCTTACAGAAATCTTGAAAACAAGAATATTACCCAAGATTGCGTCTGACTCCTAACAATACACCTCAGTTCAACTTCACAAACGTATAATATATGATGTGCGGCTGCTGGGATGACACATACACAGTGGGACTTGGTGGGAGGAAATGTGGGACAATGTCCTACTAATCTTGCCTCCCACTGGGTACTTCAGTACTTGTCAAATATAAGGGACGATTCCCACGAGAACTAACAACTCAAGATATCTGCAAGTCAAGAGAGCAAATATGTGATCAAGGAACACATAGATGCAATATGTAGCACCAAAGGTAGCATCATTGACTATATAACACTACAGTTATACAGGTAGTGTTATATAGTCAATGGTAGCACGTAGACGTTCAGTGTAAAATGCATATATTTAGGTATATCCGTTAATATGGTCATTGTTTCAATTTAAGTGTGGTTTCTAAATTTACTCATCAAAAATATTCTGTAAATATAAACAATTTTGTCTACATATGTTTTTTTTTTATTAGGCCTATCGTATTTTTATGAATTGATATTTAACTGCTAATTTGCTTATTATAGTACTGATCCATCTCCAGGCGTTTTGTCTTTTTTTCAAATTTTCATTTTTATAGGGATTTTTTTCATAAAAATGCTTAAACGATTTTGATAAAAATTTAGTATATTATGGTCCTTTCAGCTCTAAACAACATGGTACTCGTACAACTCTCAATGTTGTACGCTGCACGTTTCAAAAGTGACTGGAACTTTTGCGAGTTTAGCCATAAAATACACTTATCAAAGTTGCTCCACCGCTTGCCTATGATGAGGGTTGCTGATAAAAAAATGGGAGAAAGTATGTGTCAGATTTACTGATAACGTTTTTTTTCTTCTTTGCTATGTTAGGAGTACTACAGTGGTAATCTACAAACAGCAGGTTGGCAGCATTATCGTATTGCTGATTAGCCGGTTTTGATCCCTAACCATCTGGATAGAAATCTCGTACGTCCATCTAGGTCTTCAATATGTTTATTTTTAATAAACAGTTCAGAAAGTAAAAGCAAAATAATGCATATTGTATAACCTGGAAACACACAACATTCTACTAAGCCTTAGCATAGACGCCAAAGCTCTTCCTATCTTGACAGGCTACATGGTAACTTCACTAACTTGACTGCTATGAAGCCACAGCTGTTCACCATACCTCGACATTCACCGTAAGCCTTATCATATCGTCTGCTGCCAGAGGCGGCCGAACGTTATCTAGGAATTTCCCTAATAACAAGTAGTTTGCCACTGATAATGAAGGACGTTTGGTTTCAATGTCATCGGCAAACGACTCATAAAACTTTTATGTTTGTAATTTGCTAGTTATGGTGATTTATGTCTTTGTTATACTTTTGATGATTACCAAAGCAAAATACACGTAAGAAATAATTAAGAAACGTATGCTGTTTAACTTATCTTAGTGTATTTAGAGACTATTAAATTGCAATCCATGGGGTTTATTTTTAATACCTTAACAAGTAGTGTTATTTTTATTTTAACTTAGTGCAATTTATATTAACGTGTGATATATCCCTAAAGTTTTCCTGATTAAGTAAATATCAGACTGTAATTAATATTACTTATAATATACTTAATTGATTAATAATTAATATTACTTATAATATACTTATACTGTAATTAATATTACTCAGACTGTAATAAATATTACTTATACTGTGTAAATGTTATACAGACCGATACATGTTTTAAAACTGTAAAAAATTACAAAAATTTTATTTCTTAGTATATGTCGTAACATATACTAACAAATAGAATATTATGCTAACCTACTAGAATAGAATATGCTAATATTCTATAAGAATATTAGTGCCTAAAATTACCTGATATAATATGCTGACATCCTAACAAATAGAATAATGCTAACCAACATAAAAAGATATGTTGGTTACCAATAGATATACGTAAAAATATCGGTAACATATATAATCGTTTGAACCACTTACAATAGACTTCAAGTTTGCTCGTCTTATGTCAATCGAAACGTAACATTTGATATGCAGGGAAGTAACTATAGACCCATAGAGGAAGGGTTGTCGTTTGAATGAAACTTAAAAGTGAAGTATTGTGGTGGTCTCTAATCCAAAGCAAATAGTAGGTGAACCAAAAGGAATTTGTTTATGTGCTGACTACGAGTGAGCTACGTGCAATCTAGACATTCCATCACCATGTTAAATATGTTTCCAGTTGTTAACCAAAATCGTCGTTGCTACCGACAGATTGTGCTGACCTAAATTACTGATTTCTGTCGAGTTCACAATCTTTTTTAACAATTCGAACTAATTGAATGACTAATTGCGAGCTATAGCAACTGTTATGACCCATCAACTTGGCCAGCAATAAAATAAAAGGTAGAAAATAGAGCTTTAGTCACTAGCACATTATGTGTCTGGCTCACACAACTAAGTTCTTTTTTAACAAAACATTTGCTACAGCTGTTCCATAGAGATGGGACGTCAACTTCAGTATCTTATGTGCAATCTTTCTTCACTTTTCAAAACTCCAAACTTTGCACAAGCCTCAACATTCGTCTTAGAAAATATAAATTGCTTACCAAAATTCAGGTAATAAATAGTCACAATTCGAACAAACAAATATTCTATGAATAACAAGTATTGCAGCCTCTAACATTGTAAACTCCTGAATATTGTTAATAGCTTCAAACATAGTCTAACGTTTTGAAATGTGTCAGTTTCACTAGCGTTGCTCTGGTCTAGTGGTCTACCATGAATACCACTGTCTCTACGCGACCTACCAAGTACAGCCTCTATTGTTGATTAACCATCCAAGGAACTGACTTTATCCTTTCTGATCACTCGTCCAGCATCGTTGCTTCTCTACTTTCCATTTAATTGTTGTCCTCAAACTCTAATGACTTGTGAAATTGGGTAAACTTGTTTGCTATATTGCTATTTTAACTCGATACAAGTCTGAATTATGAAATATGTTTTTCGTTCTATGGTTCTTGATATTAATTAATAACCCCGTTGCAGCAAATCTCCAGACTCCATTTGCCTGATATGATTTTCACTTAAATATATTTATAAAAATATCGTAGTTGACAATAACATAAGTTTAACGTATAATGCTCTTTATAAATCTCATTGGATTCCTGTCCGTGGATTCCACAAGTAAGGTTTTATTTTATTCTTCACATAGTTTGAAATAAATAAATTATATAAATAATACATAACTGTGTAACTAAATGGTTATGTCGGTTCAATCCTGAAAAGCCACCTTTTTAAATTTAAATTGGATCTAGCTGATCTTAATCATTGGATAAACAGGTCCAAAAACCAAAGTTAGACATAAATGGTCATAGATAAACAAACACCTAGGTATTTGTCAGTAACAAAGCCACATAAGGTATCTCATTCTATTCTAATCTCATATTTCAATCATATTCAGGGCAAATATTGCGTCTCATTTATACAAGCTTTTAATAGTTTTTTGGATCCTTTATTTTGCCTGCTTAACAAGTCATGTTTTAGTTTTATGCACACCATTCACATGCATCTTGCAATCGGTGACCCTACATGATGTAAATCTTCTGCAGATCTCTCGCTCGTGAAGAAGCAATCTCGCAGTCTAAGAGACGACCACGATCACACGTTAACGTGCCTCAATCTAGCCTAGCGTGTATCACACGTTATATCCACACGTTTTCTGACTAATGAGACGCCAAATGGTCTTTTATCGTTCCATTATCTCGAACGTTTAGTAATTAGTTACCAGTTATTTTGAATGACCGATCAGGAAATCATCTAAATATAGGTTGATGTAAATATTGTTTTCTGGTTTGGAGTAGAACTGTAGAGGTTAAATAGTGGGGTAAACCTTGTCGAATTACTATCTCTTTTTATTATTGATGTTTCAATCAGAGTTTTTGAGTTTATTTAATCAACCTCACAGGATTGGTTGTTCCGTAAAGTTATTCATTGAGAAAGGTAACTCAATAACTCGTTTATGAAGCGTTGTTTGATCGATGCGTCTTATTATTTGTCCGGTTGTAATAATTAATCATACCGCCATGCATGCGGTTTGAATAAGAACTGGTCGCAGCTTTGCGATCTGATAAGCTTTATAAATTACCTTGTAGCTTCTATTACACACGTCTTTGGCAAGACTGTACATTGTTTGATCACTATAAATTGTCCAGGTAACAAATTCATCTATCACAGCTATTTTATCTATTATTTACAAATTTAAGTTGTAAATACCAATTGCCGTATTTCACTGTAAACTAACAGGCTGTTATTTTATTTTTATTTTTTATGTAAACTATGTGTTATTTAAATTTAAAGACGTTAGCCACTAACCAAATCTTGGATTTGCCTAAGCAAACATATGGAGCAAAGCAAGTTAGCCGTCGCAGAGCAAAAAATAGCTTCACTGATAAAAAAAAGAAGGGTGAGGTGCAGGGGAAGAACGATCAAACTCCAAAAATACAAAATTTTATATACCGGTATATTTTGATTCGTCTAAGTGAGTTTTAACCACGTGTGATTTATACACTGGAATAACGAACAGATACCGCTTTAGAATACCAAACTTTTAGGGGATGCAGGGGAATATCGGACAAACTCCACTGCGTTCACTGCGGTTTACTGGAAAAACGTAAAAAGTCCGTAGTTTGAAAAAAAGAAAGTTGTGTCGTGAACGTGATACAAAATCGTGGAAAAAATACTAAGAAACGGTACACATGAAATTGGCAATGACTGTCGTTGTAAACAACTAAAATAGGTACTTTGATAACGTCAGTGAAGAAAGATTACATTACTTCTCCTACGATTAAATATTAAATTTACTGTAAATTAGCGACAAGGGAATAAGTTAAAGACTAAACTCCATTTAATATTTTACTTTTACATTTAAAAGTTATAATAAATATAATAAAAATAAAAGAATCCCTTTCATTCGCCTATTGGGTCTGATGAGGATTGGAGTGTCCAATCGAAATCGATCACCACTACCATCTTTCATATGTCTTGTGATTTAACAGTATAAGTGTAAATATATTATTACTAGTGTTATTAAACGTATAATATTCTTTTTTTTTATAGAAACGTATAGTTTTTTTTTTCAAATAAGTAAAGCAAACTATTAAACATATAAACAACAAAAGTAAAATATATTTACTTATTCAAAAGAGTCTTTAAAGTATAATAATTGTCTCCTGTAAAATTTCATTTTTGTGATTTTGATCGTTATTCCCCTACACCCTCCGTGGCGGCATCGGTACGTGAATCCACGGCACAACTGCCTAGTATCCGTAGTCTGTCTCGCTATCGCCAAAAATACTTATCAAGACAGATGTAACCAACGATATAAACGATGTAGTTATTTACATCGTTGGAAGTAACAAGGTGTTTTTATTTTTTCATGTTTATAGTTTTATACGCATTTTTATAAATAACACTATTTTTTATCTTCGATCATTATTTTCCTTGTATATGGCCCAAGCTATGATGTTTATCTGGTATATCAACAACCTGCAAATGTCTAAACAGCTTAAATAGTATTTTTTCGTACCTAGGACCGAAATTGAGGTTTTCCTGGCTCGAGATCACTTTTTAAAGTTCGAGATGAAGTCGAGAACTTTAAACGACCGAGAGCTGCAAAACCCTTTCGGCCCGTAATGCGAACGCTATTTTTCACCACATTACACAAACTTGAGAAAATATATATAATAGGTATGCACACTACAGTCAATACATCATCAACTTTAAGGTTATGTGTAGACTTTTTAGAATAATCAGTGAAAATAATAATAGATGGTTGCTAAGCAGCGGTCACAATAAAACAAGCCTATTGCAATGCATGTGGATACAGCTGATTTTCGGCCCTAGGGATGTAAAAACCTGCTCGGTCCCCAAATGACGATGACAGCTGGCATGGATAGCAATACGTAGCTTTCAGCCTCCAATTGACGTTTGTAAAACTGCTAAACATCATAGAGTGGTGACAAGTAAATTTAACCATTGAATGCTATGGTTAAAATTATCACATCATGCAAAGGGTTTTCAGGTGAAGATAAGAAATTATATATCCTAGTGTTTTAATTTGAGTTGTACTCTTGAGTTGGACTCTTCAGAGTTAACTTCTCCTCAAATCGTCTGATACAAGTTGATAACTTTCCTCTTGATTGATGGTTACAAGACTTAAGAAAATTTAATTACAACCTTTCATGAAGTATGCATCTACTTGATTGTGACACCAGTCATATCTTAAGAAAACTGATCAAAAGCACAGTGAATGGCATGTGATTACCTATATTATTTTAAACTAAAGTGAACTAGTGAGTACTAGTGTGAGCTAGAATAGACGTATCAATAATTCAGTAACTTAAAGTTTGTGTTCACTGAAGGATTAACATTTCTGCTCCTCCAAAGTTGTAAGACTGCGATTTCACGATTCTGGAAATCCAGCAAAGTAGTCAGTACTAAAAATATTTTCCAGTTTCCTAGTAACTCTCTGAACTTAGGGGCCATCATTCCCTTCAATTTGGTTGCTGTCAGTGTATCCAGAGATAAGTACCCATCTCAAATCCGTTTTCTTAAACCAAACTCATGCATCTAAAATGTTCTATGTTTGACTTGGTTTGACGTAACGTGTTGACAAGACGTCTTCCTTTTTGAACTCTCTTAGCTGTGGAATTTAGATTGCCGAATAGCACCACCTCAACACAAGGGTTAGGTAAAAGCGTCTCCCTGGCTGCCGAATTCGGCAAGGATAACGTTTTTGTAAAAATACTCACACGACATTCACAAACCAGAAGGCAAATTAGACAGCTAGAAACCCCAACCTACCGTTAATTTCTGTTCTTTTGTAAATTGTTTTATGCTCTAGCTCAAGGTATATCTCTTTTGGGTACCAAATAAAATTCCATATCCCAAAACTACGTTTGACAATCGATGTTGTTTCAGCACTGCTGCGTCGACACTACGCCAAAGGATTGCCAGAGGCCCACATGGAGTTGTTGGAGAGGTTGTCAGAGTATTGTGGCAAGCCTTTCTTCATCGATGGTATCCACATAGGGGAGGGTAACGACACGGACCCAGCATCATCCCCTCCACCTTCAGCTGACGAGCCCTTCGACAACAAACCCTTCCTCTGGACATTCTACAACTCTTTCCTCTTCGTCCTCTGCACCCTCAGCACGATAGGTGAGACGCTATTGTATGAGTGATGGAACCTGTCTCCTGACCCTCCGCCTACCTGGGGACTGGGCAATGGTTTCAGGCCCGAACCAGCCCTGGTACACTTCTGGTCAGGAGCCAGAGTCCATCATACAGACTTTAGAGGAATATATTACTTGGATATCTTGAATACTTGAATAAAATACTCTCACCCTTGGCTCGATAGGTGAGGCTAAAGATGTAAGATTTATTGTACCATTCAGTATTTTTATAATTGACAAGTAGGTCTACAAATAAACACGAGCATTCTATTTATCTTGAGTCGCAAACACTGCTCATTGTAACAGAACACAATAGGATACACAGCACAGCAGTATGTAGCTTAGCATACTATGCAGAGCTGGGTAGATGCAAATAATTTAGACCTTCATTTTATGAGTAGTCTATAATTTTAATATCATTGGTTTTTTCACTGTTTGATTGTGAATTGGTTAAATTAAAACTCGAACCTCTAGTTTCCTAGTGCATAAGTCATTCGCACAATAGGAGATGACCGTAATCAGTAGGCACATATCAATGAAAAAAATTGGTCTTTTGTGGGAGGAGAACTGACTCGATATCACAGATCTCTCTCCACGAACAGTATACAATATTTTAAAATGCCACTTTTTAAACTGCGAAAACCTGCCCCAAATGGACTATTATCACAATAAATACTTAATTTTCACAGTCTAACTTACTTTCCAAGTATTTATTTAAATAAACTGTTCACAGTATTCTATTGGTTGCATACACAATGCTTTGTGTGGTAGTATACTTTAGTTCTACATGATTAGTACAGTTATTGTAATGACTCAACTTTAAATCAAAAGTTCAAATTTACTTAAACAATTTAATACAATAACCGCAATATTCTAAGAATTGCTGGTAGGTACTAAGAATACCAAATACCCCTTTGGCAGTTAGTTTACTTCAATGCAATTGATCTCTGTGAATAATCATAAATTTCCTTCTATGTAAAAATATACCAACTGTTCTTGAACGAGCCCTTTCATAAGGTTACATAATAATGGTGGCCTTATCGTAATAGAGTTTAAAAATAAAACCTTAGTTTCTGACGGTTTCATGTCGGTCTATCTGAGCACCTCTTGAGTTTTTGAGACCAAATCTCAATTCCCAAAACCTCAAGTACCTCTCTAACGAGTCGATTGAGTGACAATTATTGGCCAATTTCTCTATTGATAGCTTTCGGTAAGTTTGATAAGTTAGTGTTATCATCAAATTACGTCTATCAAAACATTGACATCATCTTCAATCTGTCAGAGTTTCAGCAATGTATGTTTCAAAATTGATGTAGGCCATCTAGGTGTACGATTATATTCTGATTTACACACTTTTGAGTGGTTAATGGCTATATTTAAGCAGTAGCATACTCTTAGGGAGTGCAACGAAATATGTAGTGTAGGCTATATATAAAATATATGAGCTCTAAATATGATATTTCTATTCCTTATAATTTACATAACAAGAGTAAAAGTTAAACTCAAACAAATTTTAGTATAAAATTATACATATGGTTGTTTAGTTCAATATGATAATAACATTTACTACTTTAAAAATATTTGTAGAAACAAAATAGTTCTGAAAACGTGCTTTTCTTGTCAAAATTTCTAATGCAATCATGTCTTTATAAATTAGATTGCTATCTCTTTACGTTTTCAGTTAATGCACTGTTTACGAGTTAATCTGCAATTTGCCACTGTTTGGGTTATTCAAGGGTTAACTCCTTCTAATCCACAAACACTTTTGAGAAATAGAACTTGTTTTGATGATTTGCAATTATTGGCGATTATACGATTGGTTTAAAATTGCAGTACATAAAATAAATACGTCGTGGTTAAACATTAAAAGTATACTTAGACTTAGTAATAGCTTACGTACATTTGACAGTTTGTTAGTTGATAGATAGTTTTCACCAGTAGATGGATAAACAAGTAAACCCGTTACCTGAAATATCAATCTCCTCTTCTTCAGCTAACAGTGCGTCTTTTTTGGATCAAACTTTAGTCAATATAAATAGGTTACATACCTTACGTCGTCAATCCTAAAATAAGTCTATGGCGACTAGTTTCGAAACATCAAGGTTTCATTGTCGAGCCTCTTGCCTCTTAAAAACATTGTGACATCTTGTCGTCGTCATTATACACAGTACATTTAACATAAACACACGAACACGGACACATACTATTTACAAAAATGAATGCGCGGCCGGCCATAATTAATTTTGAGTTGCATCGTGTCCGTCACCGCGGTAATTATGGCCGGCCGCGCATTCATTTTTGTAAATAGTATGTGTCCGTGTTCGTGTGTTTATGTTAAATGTACTGTGTATAATGACGACGACAAGATGTCACAATGTTTTTAAGAGGCAAGAGGCTCGACAATGAAACCTTGATGTTTCGAAACTAGTCGCCATAGACTTATTTTAGGATTGACGACGTAAGGTATGTAACCTATTTATATTGTCAATAATCAATCCTGGAGGCAATGATGAACAAACTTTAGTGCCAGCAAAATATTTAACTTGTCAATCATTATTTTTATATTTCAATATCAAACGTTCTTTAGCTATTTACATCATATTGATCATTAATTTTATAAGTTTGGTTAGTTTGTTGGAATTTCTAGCAACCAGCAACCACAGAATTAAAATTTTAATTCTGTGGTCGCTGATAGCAACTGTATAAAATTCTTTCTTAACATAATAAGTGAGGTGAAAATAATATCTTCTATGTGTTAAGATAACTTTGCTTGTTTGCTCTTTAACAGTTTTTGTACCAAAATTTAAAACATACTGGTGCAAATCAATTGATGCTACCCAAAGCATATTTAATGTTGCAGGCTACGGTAACCTCGCCCCCACCACCAGGCAAGGTCGTATCCTAGACGTGATGTATGGTCTGATAGGCATCCCCTTCAATGGTATCGTCCTGGCCCAGATGGCAGAGTACTTTGGATCTTTGGTTGGTATACATTCACACAAATGCTGCATAACTTTGTTATAATCTTGTATAACGTAGTGTCCTCTATCTTTCCCTACACACCATATCCCCCTGCATTTCTTTTAATATATGTTAATAGAATTGTTAACTTGACTTTAAAAACTAAAACCAAATGTAACCAAACTTAAAGTGAGAGTACTGACTACAAACACAACGTTGCTACTCATGGAGTATGATTCTGTCGACTCTAGATCGAGATGATCCGCCTAATGTATTTTAAATTAAAATATATACTATTTTGAAATTAAGGTGACATCTATCGCTCTATCACGCAAAATATGGTGCAACCATTTCTAAACAGTCAACACAAAATTAGTTTTAGGTATTCATCAATAAATTTTGCAATTTTGATATTTAGACTTGATTTTCACAGTTACCTTGCAAGTGGGATTTTTCATCTACTGAATTGGTCTCGGTTGAAGTTGTAAAGCAGTATTTCGCATAGGGAAGAGGACGCGGAAGAGAACAATATGTAGTAGTCATTTATCTAAACTGCAAATACCGGAAGATGTTTTTAATCATAGAAGGATTTTTTCTGGATCTAAAATTTCAAAATTTTAGGAAGGAAAGTGTAGCAAAGTCTTATAAAACAATTCATTACAACTGAACCTATTCACTAGACTTTTCATAACTTTCCCTCAGTTTATGCGCGCTCACCACCGCTACAAGAGCCACGAGTACCAGACAAGACTGAGCTTGTTCGCAGATATCCTCACCTACCTCATCCTCGGTACGATCGTCTTCATCTTCTTCCCCGCCGCCATCTTTGTGTACTTCGAGGACTGGACCTTCGACACGGGAGTCTACTACGCCTTCGTCACCCTGGCGACCATCGGGTACGGCGATCTGGTGGCAGGTGAGAGGGTGGTGGGAGGTAGGACAATTTAAGAGAAGTGATGGACAAAAGTGAATATTGTACAATATTGATTAACATTGTAGTTTGAAGAGTCTCCAGCTTGATCTTGAGAAGGTTTTTTGTACTTATGAATAGTTAGAAAGTGATCCGACCATCCTTGATAATTGGGGAATCATTATTAAGTTTAGATTCATTATTAAGAATCTAAATGCCAGAAACGGCGAGAGCCCTGAGGGCTTAGGTCACATGTTGGCCTGACTTAAAGTAATTTTACAAACAATTCCAGGCCTGTGTCCAACAGAGTAGAGGGTTTTTTAGTGAGTAGTCTTTGAAAAATTCAGGAGTCTCACACTACAGGCTACCTGTGTACGTAAAAGCATTTTCTCTTCTCTTATGCCTAAAAATAAAAAAATAAAATAATGAACCGATAATAATCTTGATTTATATATTGTTTTTTAGTTTGAGTGTGTTCTTATCTAGTTAGATCTTCATTTTGTTGCGAGGGTCGCAGGTTTGATCCACGAAATCTCCACAAAAAGTTTAAACAAAATGTATAAAAGTAAAATAATATTCTTAAAGCAATCAGAAATTAATGACAGAAATAATTATTCTGCTCAAATATGTAGCTGTTTCACTACAAAAGTTAACTCAGATCCTTCATTAAATCAGATGCAGCTCTTTAAACGTTAATGGTAGGCTATACCGAGCCGTATTGAAGGGGCTTGTTAATTCGTGTTTTCTACATCTTACGATCTACATTATGATAAACGTGGCAAGTAAAATCACAGGAAATATTTAAAAATAGCTAAAAAATAATATAAAAGATACACACATTAAAACTCGACAATATTAATTTGGGTCTTGGTCAAAATACGATTTGGGTTATTATTACGCCCACTAAGGTGACAAGGAAAAACCTATTTGCTTGGCCAACAAAATGATTGAAGAATTTGTGCTTATCGTTAGTAAGATGAACTCCTGATGTGGCTTTTTAAGAAAAGCTGTAGAAGAAAGTGTTCTGTTTCACCTACCAGAAATGTCATGACAATTAATTTACACTTCACTAAATGCTAAGACATTAATCTATGACGACTGTACATTCCCAAATCCAATTCGGCATAGCATTATACGGTTCAACAAAACAAAGAAATAATATAGAAAACTAAAAACAAAATAAAATTAAAAATTAAAAATATATGTTAAAATATATGTTTTTTATATATTTTAAAACAGCAAAAAAAAGCTATCAGGATAATGCTTAAGCTAAAGAGGGATGATTCAGCCAAACAACACTTTACACATCTAAAAAAATTTTCAGTTTATGGACAATATATATATATGAAGTTATTCTTATTGCTAGGAAACAAGATTTGAGTGAAAAACCGATGACAAGCCACAACTATAAGCTTAGGAAAAAACGTGGGGTTGTTGAACCTCATAGCCGTCCAATGCAGGCCAAAGATTTTTAAAATTTATCCCCAAAAATATAAAAAAGAAACAGATTTGAATAAGTTTAAAAAATTACTCAAAGATTATATATTAAAATTTAGATATTTATTCTATGGAAGAGTTCTCCACCTCCCTGGCATAGGTAGCATTAAGTTATTTTAATTTTGTATTTCATTCTTAACTAACTAAATACTTGTTGTTATTATTTTACTTGTTAATATTTACTAATATCATTGTAATTGTATTTCTTTTTATTGACGCTATTCATTGTACCAACTTTGTACAAAAATATGAATAAAGAATATGAATATGTTTGGAAGTGGGGAAACTGCATTGGACCTTCAAATGTGTATATTGTTAGAAGAAATCATACTATTTCAGCAACACAGGAATTGCATATCTATAATACATTTCTCTATACATGACCCTAGGGAAGATAATTTCTGATCATTGTCTGTACAAAGTTTGTCTGTTCCTAGGTCAGTCAGACACAGATACGTGGATTTACAATGTTTACAAGGTGATGGTTCTGGTGTGGATCATGTTTGGGCTCGGCTACATGCTCATGATTGTTGGCTTCATCACTCGAGCTATGAGGTGAGATTCTACAATAAAATATAAGTTAAGTTTCTATATTGAATGTTTGGAAAAACTGTTTAAATAAATTTTATCAGCGATGTGACTCTCTATACACTTGTCAACAACCTTTATAATTCGTGGGGGGGGGGGGGGATAATCGGTGGAAGTAACAAAGACAATTTCTAGGATGAAATCACAAAAATTGAGATAGCTTTTAATTGTAATCTTACAGAACTTTGGGTCGTACCCTACAATTTTGTTTAGAGTGTAAAGTAATACAACAGACTAAATATTAATAAATAGCATTTTTGTGAAAATCTGTTTTTTCTTTACAATACACTATTTTATATACATAATGTCCCCTACATTACATACAGAATACATTATACCTATTCTAAGGTCGAAGAGGGTAATGTATATGACCTTCCATCAGTTTTTAAAAGTATTGCAACAACAATCTATTGATCAGAGATTATTGAAGAACTTCTCTCTTAAATGTATATCCACTATCATAATAACTTAATTTATAAATATTTCTTTCCTACAGGAATTCCTTATTTTGTTCCTTTTAGGAAATTAAAATTAACCTAAATACTGTTTACAGGTCTAAGAAGGTTCGTAAGATAGAGCACAAACTTGCTACAACCATAAAACAAACTCAGAACAGGATATGGAATGAATTCTCACAAGATGTTACATATCTACGGAGAATGCTCAATGAAATGTATTTGCTCAAGATACAGGTAAAGCAGTCTCTTGGTATTTTGGTTTACTTTGAACTTTTTTTACATGCTGGAATTTACTACATAAAATATTTTATGAATTAGAATTTATCTTCCATGATTATGAAGTGAAAATTTATTCCTCGTCAAAGTGTGAATTTACTGGCTGTTAACACAGTCTTCTTAAAGCAGACTGCTGAATATCTTCACCTAAATTGTTTAGGTAGCATTCACAAGCTAACTGTGCAATACTTGTAAATTAACATCAAATCTGCATTAATGTTTCTTATTTGCCTTGTTACCAATGCCACTACAACCCAGCAAAGCTTGAATTTTATGATAATTTGTTGTTGGAAAAAGTACAACTTATAATTTATTGAAAAAAACATTACACACAATGATAGTCATAATCAAAGAAGTATTGTCAATAAAAACTAAAAAACCAATCATGAAACATTTTTTATTTTTTAATTTGTAAGTCAAAGCAATTAGTCAATGGAGTAGATGATTTGTAACATTGGAAATTGTATTTTATCAAAATATCATATCAGTTTTATAATTTACCATAACCTTTTATAAAAAAAATATTATGGTAGCACAAAAATGAGTTCTAACTAAAACAAAGATCTTCAGATATATAACCCTATTGGATGACTTGAACTTTTAACCCAAAACTCGTAATTTACACTGAAGTTTTTATATAATTTTCATCAAGTAAACTTGTAAATTATACTTTACCGTACGATGAACCAACTTTGAAGGTTGCACAAAAATCTTTTAAAGCTAAGATCATGTAAGTCATGTAAACCTATAGGTCGGCTCCTCACTTATACTTAAATCTCATAGTTTTAACTACATTCTTTCTGTTTTACAATTTTCAGCCAGTTTATGTAGAGAAAGAGACTGAGGAAGATAGAGAAGGTGTGAGGAGGATTAAGAGTTGTCCCAACCTGAATGAGTGGCCAATCCTGGTCAAGAGGGAAGACTTGGAGGATTCTAGCTCTGAAGAGGATCTAACAGAAGAAGAGATGGCTGCTAACTTCAAGAGGATAGCCATGAGGAGGAGGTAAGTACTTTCCTCTCCGTGATATAGATGTTTTTGGTAAACCATTAATTATAGTGTTTTTTCCACTTAAAGTCTAATGCTTGGCTTATGGAACTTAGGCCTACTCAGTACTCGTAAGAATCTATATTCTTATACCACCTAAATACTGGAGTTTGTAGAAACTGAAACATCCTAAGGTAAATTCAAGGACCTGGTTTTGATATATAAAATGTTGAACTGACTTCAAATTCTAAAGCGTGCAACTTTATCAATGAACCTGAAGAAAGAAAGACTTGCTGCCTGGCTCCAATGGAAGAACTTTTAATGGAATACTGAAGTTTTTTTTAATATGGACTAGCCTGCTGCTTGTAGTAAGGCACCATCCAAGAAGAATATTTTAATAAAAGATTGCTGGAGGGTCTATAACTGTTGAGTTTTAATAAAAATTTCAATTTCAAATTTTTTTTCAATGAGAAACAAATCATGCAAATGGGAATTCACTTAGTCTGTGGAGTTGCTGTAGCAGAGGTATTCTTGTTTATATGAGAGAAATAGAAACAAAAAAATACATTGGTCAATATTATAAAACTTTAGTGCCAAACGATAACTTAAAATTACGGAAATGTCTGAATTTTAAATGTATTTTTTCTCAGGAGAGGACATGCAGAGAACGTGATGACACCGCAGGTACGCAAACGACGGTGTTCAGACACAGATCTGTCCAGAATCGACCGCAAGGCGACGTTTGGAGACGACTCAGGAACTGTGGAGCCTAAACTGCTACTAGCCAAGGTAGTGGACGCCCTCGGTACTTCTGTAGGCTCCAAGTTCTCCCTGGAGTCCCTTCAGCCTCCGTCCAGGAAGGTATGAGTATTAGATTTAAAATTTGATATGTAATTTTTTTATGTGCGTTTTTTCTACGCAAACGCAATTTGTATTTTTACGTTTATACAAAGGGAACGTTCCAACCTTAGTCTATCTAACATTGACTTCGCATACTAGATGACAAATGTCATCCAGGTCTAGAATTGATCTTGCTTTGAATCAACCAATACCTTCGGATTATAAGACAAGCAATACACATAACTACTCACCTACCTCATAGAGAAGTAAGGAACAGAGGAAACACACTTATGTATGGGACAACCGTGCGCTTTCTGCTCTGGTATCTTGTGTCGGTAATATACTTGTGACCCCAAACTTCGGAAGAGCCCAAACGGCAACGACTGTGCAGGAATTCCTATCGCATAGGCTCTTTCTCCACAGTGAGCCTTCACAGTACACGATGGCAAGGGAGGTGGTCTTTGTCCTAGACACCACTTAAATGTATGTATTATGGAGTGTATCCTCTGATCATTACTCCTCTGTGGCTATCCAGACAAGTATTGGATCTCTCTGGTGTCCCCTTATACTAGCTGACTTACATTGGTCCTGTGTGAAAGGTCTGATATTGAATTGGCTATGAAATGAGATGGCCCATTGGTGCATATTATATTTTTATTTTATGAGTGATCTTCATTCTGTGAACTATGAATATCTTATAGATAGGAAACGTGCGTCGTTTATCTTAAGTGCATAAAATCACAAAAATACTTTTTAAGTTAAAGGAGTGATACTAACAGTCTGTCAGGAGAAGACTTCTTGATATATGTTCATGTATCCAGTTGAGGGGTCTTTTTCTACTGATGAATTGTAGATTTTGTTAAAAGTTCAACATGTGTTACTAAGCCAGAATATTCATATTAACAAAATAAATTTAACTTCACAGAAAGAAAATTCCACCTAGCATATATCACTCAGTACTTATTGAGCGATAAGAATGTTAATTTCACATAGTGCAGTATTCATTTAATAAGGGGCTAAAAACACAGAACAGACTTTTAAAGGAAGGGAATAGAATTAATCCCTTACTTACTAAAATGTCCAAAAGTTAAATTGTTTACATAGATTCTGTCAGAGAAGTCATCGACATTAAATCTTTGCAGATATCCCAGAAGCTGAATGGTATCCATGGATTTAGTGATGAGGAGATCCTAGCGAGTGAGAGAGGTCCGAACTATTGGTCCATCACTGGACACAAGATGGCCGCCAGTGAACAGCCAACACCAATCAAGCGGAACAGTCTACTGGCCGACGAGACCAGGACTTGGACTGGAGTCAACCCAGTGGACATTCAGAGGTTCATTAAGATCAGGTGAGAAATAAACTAGCAGCAATATCATGAGGACAAGGCAAAAACTTGAAAACTGAAAATATATCAAGAATAAATTGATGCAAAATTTATTTTCTATTAATGCAAGGAAATTTTTACTTTTCCCTACCGTCTTCAGGGCTGAAAAGAGAAAACGTTTGCAATGCATACTTACTATAAAAAAATGGGGGAAAAGTCTTGATTCGTTTCCCATGATATGTTAAGCAATCTATTTTACTTGTGTTTGTTTTAAGTTAATCTAAAATTTGAAACATGAAACATAATTTTGATGTGCCAAAGTCTTGCTATTAAAGAAAACGCTAACCACACACAAACAAATGCAAAATGGAACTTACAGTGTAAAAATTACGTCTAAGTTCTGGTAATGGAAGAAATTTATCGATCATTAGTTTCGTTTTTGGATAAGTACAGTACAACTAAAATATTAAATTATAACACACAAATTCATATGAAAACGTTAGTATCACTTGGTAATAAAAAGATGGTTTAATAACAGTTTTTCATTACAACTTCATTATATGTCTCTTAGTCTTACAATACAAGTGATAAGGGCCCTAGGGAATTGAGTCCATTGAATTTACCTGTGTTAATCAAAAAAAAAAAAAAAATTAAGTAATTTATTCCACAGATTTCATAGGTAACAGAGTGTTTCACGTTTCAGGACGAATGATGAGCTGAGAAGGTCAAATCAAAATTTGACCAGATCAGATTCCATTTCCTCAGTATCCAGTGAGCCGAACACCAAAGTCCCACCAAGCAGAATGCGGCGAATGTCGATGGCTGTGACCAACCTTTTCTCTCAAGCGATTGGCAAATCTCAAGAAGCGAAGGAAACAAGAGACGGCAGAAAGAAGCGCAGAACTGGGAACACTCCTGGAATGTTACCTGTTATCAACAACAACAAACGTTTGTCACTGCCTCACGAGGACCAAACCAAATCTATGCTGCATCAAGTGAATTACCTGACACAAGTAAATGGAAGAAGAGGAAGTGTTTTTGCTGCTTTAGCGAGTGAAATGACACCAAAAGCCTCTCAAAACCCACTCATTCCTGTCAGCCCAGTTCTTGAGCAGACGAGTGTAGCAGATTTTCTAAGATTGCTTTCCTCCTTGCAGGCAAAACTTGACCCATCTATGACACCTGAGGTTTCAGATGCTTCAAATTTGCAATCTTTAAATAGAAAATCTATTAACCCCAATAAAGAGTTGGTTTTAAATTCTCTAGCTGCTCTGTTTAACCACAATACTTCAGCGCAACAAAACCAAACTGTGAGTGGCCCAGTGAATCTTTCTCATCCTTCAAAAACAGCTGCTAGAGCTTCAAGCTTTTTGGAGGCGAAAGGAAAACAAGGAAGAAGATTTTCACTGATTCCACCAATGGACGTTGATCATCCTTCGGGCCAAAAGAATCCAAGAGATATTTTTAGACTGAAGAAACGGTCGGTATCTTCACAAAATATGTTCCAGAATAGTGATGGCTCTACAATCAACATTCCAGTTACTGCACCTCAAAGACAGAGGCCTCAGAGGACTTCGCTTTCTGGAACTGCAAAATATATAAATTCTAAGATTCAAAGTTCATCAGAAGGTATTAAATCCGCTCTACCAAACATTGGCTACAGAAAGTTCTCTGTTAGACCAGTTTCAGCCCAAGATATGCCTTTGGGGAGTGATACGAAAACAAATCCAAAACAAATGTTACCCACTATCACTGTAGAAAATTATGACAAGGAATCTTCAAATGTTGAAGAAGGGGAAGAAGAGCTCAAAGACATTGTTATATCAAAGTTATGACGAATCGATTTTGTTAATGTCACAAAAGACTGTCATACAGAATTAATTCACCTTAAGCTTTTTACCATCTGGTCAGTTAGCTTAGATGCCTTGTCAGCCTGTTGTTAAATACGGTAGGTAAAAATGTATTAACCATATAATAGTTGTATAAGGTTTTTAGACAGTTATACAAGTTACCTTTTAGAGTATATACTCAGACTGTGATTACAGTATTTTTTATATTAGTTGTAAGAAAATTGTTTGGTAATTGTAATATTCAAAATATATTTATTACCTCTGTAATCAAGAAATATTATGAGCAATGTATAGAATATATTTATTTTTGTATGCTATGTATAGTTTGATAATCATTTATCAAAAGGGGTAAATTTCTAGTATGTACATATTTGTAATATATGTTGTTTCCAAATATTTATTAACAAGACAGTAAAATAAATTTAAAAATTAGTGAAATTCTTGATTTCATTAATTTCTTACCAAAATATACATAAAATTTTGTTATACTATAACTGTTCCGCAGATCAAATTTATCACAATAGAGAGTAAATATTAGTCACGGGCTGTTAATTATTCAGGAGTAAAGAACAGACAGATAAACTGGCTGAGAAGTTATAGTGCTCACCTAGCAATCAAAAAGCTGCCAGTTTGCTTCTGAGTAAAGTACTATAGTAGCTTTTTGATGGTACCAAACTGGACCCAACTGTCCCTGATAGTTGGTGGGGCTTTAGGTAAAGGGTCCTGGCTAATGAAACAATTGGTCATTGAAACAAAGCTGTACAAGGCAATTCAATCCATTCTAGGGATTGCCAATTCTTTCAAAACATCTACTTTTTCTATCGATGCTCGATTTTTTTCTTCGATGGTAGGCTACCAATGTTTTTGTTACATCAGGGTTTTCATTTAATATCAATGTTTATCAAGGCCAACTTTCAAAATGTCAATGTTTATTTCTAACTGAATACTGAATAATGTTATTTCAAATGGTTGTAATGAAAATTTGAATGAATGTTGATTTATAAGGAATTATTTTGATTTATGCCTATTCAATTGAAAGCCTGATGAAATATTCAATTCCAAAACTAATCCGAACTTGACTAGACTTAGACAATAATTGAGTGAGAGTGAGAAAACTATCTACATTGTTGAGGTACGGTACTTGTGCTGCCAAAAATCAATTCATTTGTAATAAATTTCAGTGGCATCAATCCTGCTGCATCATAATAAATTAAGACCAATATTGTGTATTGCAAATGTGAAATATAAACTGCCAATCTAGAATTTCCAGCAAATGGCTGGATAAATTAGCTGAGGCAAAAAGTTGGGGAAAACTCAAAATGTCAAAAACACACATAAATTATCGATGGAGGATTCCTAATATTATCGAATGAGATTGAAAAGCACTTACCGGTAAGTGTATTGTAACTGATAACCGAAAAATAAAATTCCTTTGTTGGTGGATAGATACAAGCACACACTATTTCTGGGTCAAGGTCCTGCCATCGATGTATAATAACTCTACGTGGGAGTTATTATACATCGATGGGTCCTGCCACCTTTGATTAGTGTGGAAGCAAAAATAGTTGAGGGTAGACAGTCCGTGGATATTGTATATTAAACTGTATTTAATAACTTAATTAGATTCTAGAACAACGCTGATGGATGATTCTAATATGTACATTATTTCTTATCCTAATGATATGATGGTTTGATTATTTTGCTTTGATGACTGGAGTTTTTAAATCTTCAAGGTGCTTGGCCACAAATCTGAAAAAATAAAAAAAATAAATCAGAATAAGCAGAAATTAAAATTTTTATACTAGAATTAAGTAAACAAAAAATGATTAGTTCTGAAGTAAACACTTTGTGTTGTGCTCTTTAGTCTGAAAGTATATTTCCGCTGCATATTTAACTTCACCTTTCTACCTGGCTCATCTAAATTCTACAAATAGGGAAATGTTTCACATTCCATAATCTTTAACTGTGGAATATTGCATAATAATGAAACTAATATGGTGAATATTAAATGTTAACAAAGTTCAATAGGGACTCATATACCATAGTTTTATACCATTGATCAAACATTCTCATCCTTATGGATCAGCTAAAGACAATTTATTGTTAGTTCTGCACAGGGCCCAGGGGGGGGTAGAGGTAGCGTTTTGTCTACAAATTGTTTCTTGTAATTTCAGTTATTTAAAACCTCTTGTAACCAAATAAAACAATCTAATCATGGACAATATAATTGGTTCCATAGTTATATAACCAAACTGTAAAGCATAAATCTTGATATTGACCATAAAATTTCGTCAACACTAGTGATCAGTGTCACTGGACATGAAAAAGAAATGAAAAACATGCTTCAAAACTAATTTACAATGGGATGAGAAGTCTACTCGTGTTGGTTAGTCTATGATTATACTTACTGCTTCTATTCTGTCACTGACACAGGTGAACATATCATATGCCAAGTCACAAGTGTATCCTCCATCTGAAAAAATATAAATTGTTAATAACCCAATTTTTATACATACTTGAATCCATCCCTAATCAGAAATTCAAAACTGCAAGCTACAAATTAATCAATTGGTTTTCTCCAGTCCCAGTTGCCTCACACTAACACTAGACCAAAACTGCACCCTAAAAGTAGTCCTTGATCAATGATCAAGGGGATTTTAAAAGATTATCCTTTCTAAAGCAACAGCTGATCCTGGTCATTATCAAACCTACACAAGATATCTCACTCTAATCTGTGCTATACTGTAACCCATCTTTCACTCATATTTGGGTTGTATCATTGTCTTTTGGATACTGCAGTAAACATCCCATCTGGACCAGCTGCTGCCATTTTTTTCCAAAAAGAACGTACTTGAGTGAGCCAGTCAGAGATCGCTAAGTTTCTAAAATTGCATTTTTTACCTTTTTTGTCGTCACTGAGATATTTGACATGATAAAAAAGTGTTGTAGTTTACAATAAGTCATCCTGTTAGTTTAACTTGGTTAACAACTCTGCATATTCGACAGCAATAAGCAGTTGAAATCAACGTGATCTATCGGTGGCTCACATCAACTACGATGATTTTGATGTAAAAAAACTGGTGACAACTTTAACTTGGAAATGGAATGTTTATTTTTATCTATAGTAAAATATTCTACACTCATTGTTCATTCATATCTGGGTTCAAGTACGCCCCAGATGTATACACATACCTTGTACAACTGATGGGTTAAGGGATCTTCTATGTTCGGCAGCTGACATACACTGGTGAACAGCCTGTACAGTGGCCAGGAAGTAGTTCCTGTCTGACACTCCGTCACTGTACAGTCTCACCATGCCAGGGATGGTTGGAAGGCCTCTCTCATCCACCTGAGAATTCAAAACATTTGTGGAAATTCTGCTAAAACCGAATTAGCTGAAGAAGTCCCACGATTTGCATGCGATTCATAGGCCCAAGAGATCACGCTCCTCTTCACCTAACTTTTGTGGGAATTTTTCTATTCTTTGCACCCCAAACAAATCCAAAACCTCTTGCACTCCTGGGCCCAGGCCCACCGGGCCCATTATTCATGAAATTCGAACTTGAGCTGAAAGGCGAGTTTTGAAAATGGAATTTAATTCCTATCTGATATCCCTGCAACCCCATCATAGAATGTGCCACTAACTTACCAATGGCACCATCAACTTAACTGTCTGAAGTCTATAATTTTGGTAGATTTTATAAATTTTTTTTTTATAAAGAGGTTGGTGGTCTCTGTTAATCTTGCATTTTCCTGTATACATAGACTATATAACTGCCCGTGCATGGAATGTATAGAGCAAATCAAGGGGTGAGCCGGTACTGTACGAAGGTGAACTGTACTGATAAAATTTTTGCAGCAGTGACCAGGATCCGAACCCACAACATCGCTGCCTTGGGCCCGAAGTCTGCGACGCTACCGACTGAGCCACCGACTTACATTATGGTTGTTTTGTGGAAGAGTAAAATAGGATACATCAGATACATTTAGTGTTTTTGGTGGTGAGCAAAACTGAAAACTGCATGTAGCTTACAAGTTGCTCGTACTGTCTAACTCTCCCTTTGTTCGCAGTGTAGGCTGCATGTTTACTGTTTTGGGAATTTAAAACAACACTGAATTTTATTTTAGTGAAAGTGTGTCTATCCAAAATTGCAAAACCAGAGTTATTGCAAGAGTCATACACTACCATCTATTGTCACATAAGAATCATACTTACGGCTTTCACCTTCCTGTAGACGCACTGGAGCAAGCACTGAAAAAATGATAATTTTGATATTAGATTGGTTACAATATCTAGATATTGTGCTACAGAATCTAATGGATATTATGCTACAGAATATAACAGGTATTCTGCTAAAGAATCTTAATTTTTTATAAATATATTTAACTTTAAAAATACTCTTTCTGGGTGTATGAAGACTGATGACCGATGTTTGATGTTTCTAAGGTACCTGAATAACGGTTTTATACATTGTGTACATAGTTCATGCATTGGCTTAACTTAAACTCCTGCAGACCTTGAAAGGCATTGTTTGAGGCATTGGTTTGCCCCTTTATATTTTTTTGTGAAAATATATACATTGTCTGTAGTTTAAAAGAAGTTGTTCCCTACACACTGTTAAAATTTACTATTAAACCAGCTAATGCAAGACACAAATTTGAAAACAAAAGTTTGATTTTATTTTTCTTCTGACCAAACCAAAACAGTTAGCTGGTGAGAGCTTTTGTAAAAGGGACGGTTTAAAATGTACTACAATGCTGATGTAAATCGATAGGTCTTGTTACTTGTCAAATATATGAGTACTAAGCTATTTCATATAACTAGTTTACTATTCTTTACCAAGATCAACATAAAAACATTTTTTCATACCGGTACTGTAAGTTAGTGGACATTTATGTTAGTATATTTTACAAATATGAGTTCGATGCAATACAAACCCCAGCAATGCGTCTCTCTTCCCCTGTGAAGGTCTCTCGTCTTGTTCTGTTGTGTTTGAGAGGGTTTGCATCAAGTTCTTGGCCTGCATCTCCCAAAACTTGCAGTGCCTCTGGAAAATATTAGAATTTTTAAAAGTTACACTAAAGCTCAACAACCACATTATCTACATAGATTATCACTTCCAATAGTGTACCTACTACCTTTGACTACTACCTAGTGAGCCATTCATTATCAAACTCATCAAATGAGAAGGACTATTTTGCTCTCAAAAGTGCTAAATCACATTCACACATTGTGAAAGCCCTGACAAGCAACCATAACCTTACAGTCTCATCACCTTGTTTGCGCAACTCAAACTTTCACCCACAACACAACACTCTCTATCTCTTTTATTATAAAATCTTTTAAAAAGTTTACAGTTTAAAACATGAGGGAAAATTTTATAAGGTTACCCACAAGTTTTATCTAAAATTGTACAACATTAGCAATTTGGGGGAAATGGAGTATCAAAAACCATTACTTTTACTTTTTTGTGCATACATTTTTGTTTTTCCTCACACTTAAAATGTGATTTGACATATAGATATTCAATTTGTATCAATCTGTTTAAAGTCTGTAGAAATTTAAAAAAATACAATCTGAAAAATTCCAAAAACCTAAGATGTATTAAACTATAATTGTAACAAATGTTTGATTAACTTATAACTGATTTGTGCTAGCAAACGGGGGACTTTTTAAAATTCAAATAAGAGTGTGGTATAGCCAATAATTACAGCCTAGAGTTTGACATTTTAGTAAATGAGTCCAGGCCAAGGGCGCAAGAGATTTTATTTGGAAGGGGGGGCCCAAAAGAAAAATTCCCTGCATGGAAATGGAGGGGGGGGGGGGTGCGAATATCCCTCGACCCATAATGCAAAGCGGGCTCGTTTTCGCCTGGTAATCAGAAGGCTAATGATTCAATACTGAGAAAAGTTCAGTTGCTTTTAGGTTTAAAACAATACGGACCTTCCTTTGATTATTGGGTTTTTAATAAGCAGTCGTTGTAAAAAACATCATTACTGTACCTCATATTTGGGTAAAATACCCCCCTTGCGTTGCGCCCCCATTTTAATTAGCAATACCATCAGAGTAAATACTTTCTGAGGTAACACTGGATGATAATTTAATACTTTTATATCAATAATAGTTTAAGGTATTCAATGTTTTGTAAGTCTCAATACTCGATGCAATTATTGCCAAATATTTGCATAATTAAGGAACAACTTTTCCTTTCTCCAAGAAGACAGTAACTGTGTCAAGTTCACTAGCCACTGTCCATTACATTACTGGAGCACGACAGGTGTAAAGAAGCGAAAGCTTAGACGAGCTTACATTACAAAACAAACGCATGCGTAACGTCGCAGTTACGCAATGCAACATAATTTAATGTCATGCTTGACCCGCCTGCAGCACGCGTCTACCTGTGAAAGAGTCTTCTTCTTCCTCAAAAGTGGCCTCGGCAACAATGAGGCGATCTCACACAATCCTTGATAGGGTTAGGGTTTAGCGGCCAGTGGAGATGAACGTGAGAATGTTTTGATGATTCCCAGTTATGAAGGTGAATCCCTAACTAGGTTCATAAAAACCGGATTCCCATTCGTTGGGAACACTAATTGACGTCTTTTTGCTCAATAATTGATTAGAGGTTTTGAAGATTAAATTTTCACTTTTGTTTATAATTATTGCTGCGGTTGCAATAACATTAGTAGACTGATAATTATGTTCAGCCATGGGTTTATTTTAAAATATTATCAATTATCAATTAAGATAGGGCTGTCGTCTACCTGTGTAGCGTATTTGAACCCATAAATATGAGTGATATGAATGATGAGTGTAGAATGGAGGGAGATTATCTGTGTAGCTTTGTTACTAACTAAGATAAGCTGTTTCCTTAGGTCAATTTTCGAACCATCAAAAAGCTTCTGACATTTCTCAGGATTGTTCCGGCAACTTGTTGATTGTTAGGCTAGCAATTAATTAACCTAACCGTTCCTACCCCTACGCTATAAAATAGACTTGAGCATCATTTACAGTCTAGGTAGTACAACGAATATTAGAACAAAAACTGTATGGATCATAAACATAAACAAATGGCGTCACTGACCCTAATGTCTCTTTACTAATAGCTGTAACAGATGGTTTGACTTAAATATTAACAAGATGAAGTTTTCTCTCGGACCAGTGTCATAATATGATCCATGCCGTTTATGTTACAATATTCATGGGTAGTACAACACAGTTTCATATATAGCTAATCTAAAATGGTTCGTTATAGAGGTTTTGACCGACCCTTTGTTGATGGACCGTACTTTAATATATATGTTTTGGATTTTTCAATTAACTATAGGCTACATTTTTTACTTATTGTCTTTGTTGTAATTAGGAAGAAATTTGTTCCTTATTGAATAACGGCATGGAAATAGATAGGCTATAGCTATTTTGGTTAATTCAACAAATGACATTATAAATTGCCATGACAAAAATTAATATATTAACGACATGCAAATCTTTACGTTAAAATACAGGGTGAGGCAATGAGAACGCTACAATTTGTTTTACCTGTCACATGTTAATTGTTGCAACAATGAATGATCAGCTGTGCTTAAAACATTAATTAAACTATGCCATTTTAGTAAATATTATGCCTGAGGCTATTAACACTGAGATTTTGATGTGGAAACCTAATAGTGGTTCTTGTGCAAAAACCCAGAGATTGTTTGGACCGTATTCCATCCTTGGTCAACATGGCGCTGTTCCAGATTGGAAAACAATGTTGAACTGGGTAAAATTATTTAGGATAATCGCTTAAACAAAAAAAAAATAATCGGTGGGTGCCGCAAAACTCTTTGTACACCAGCAAATGTTAAAAGGATATGAGTCCCAGTAACTCAAAGTCCGAAGAGATTTGCCAGGAAGCTTTTGTTGTTGAAAGCTTTACGTTGGCTAAATTTTTTGGGAGGGGTGGGGTTGTTATAATAAGCTACTTGACGTTCTAGGTTTTTCAAAGTCACCCTACAGATTTGCTTGAACCGAAGCTACGGATAGTCCAAAAACTAAAGTGATTCCTGAAGAAGTGCTGGAGGAGTATTTGATGGAGTTTTAAGTGGCTAAAAAGGAATGTCAAGTAGGACAATGAAGTCACTTGTAGGATTTTGTTCTCAAGAAATGGAAAAATGACTTTGTTAAGTTAAAATGACAAAAGATAAGCTGTGTTTTGGTGTGATATTTATATCCATAGGGTGAATATTATTGAGTTTGTACTGTTTATAAATTGGGGCGCTTTCATTGCCCCACCCTGTATTTCAAATAAATGTTCAAACAATTTATGTTTTAGTATTTTTTTTATTAACAATTCATTTGATTAAAGTTAGTCTGTTGAGACAATAAATACAAGTCAGACCATTTTATTTACTATTAAAGTGTCATAGTCGCCATCAGTAATGCTAGAAAGGATTGACTTGATCTAAATACGATTAAAATAGTATGACGTTGATCTAAATTTGGTCTCAGTTGATTAACACGACTTAAGTTGATGTCGGAAAAATCTACTGTCTTCAGAATATTGTATTTATTATCACTTGAAACAGTGATACGCAATATGATGATGCTGTAATTCTAACACCCACGTGGAACCAAATTGTTGACTTTTCTAAAACTAGTTTATGATGTCAAATCAATAATATTTATTCTGCAGAGGAATCTACGTAGAATGGATTTCACACTAAAATATTCTAGTTTAGTATATCGAATTTAAAACTGATTTGATCCCATTTGAACCCTGCAAATGAAATATTGTTAGTGCTCCCCTAACAATCCAAAAAATGCCGGATCGATTCTGAAAAAGGTCAGCTTTTTGACACTTCAAAACTGGACCCAGCTTTTTCTGATCATAAGGCTTTAAGAAATAAATGATCGTGACTTACGAAACAGCTTACCTTAATATCTTAGTCAGTAACAATGCTAAGCAGATCATCTCACTCCATTTTATACTCGTCCTTTACTCATTTTTTGTTCAAATACGCACCTATAGGTGGCGTCCATATCTCAATGATGATAATTAATTGGTAATGATATTCTTGGCGATTGAAAGACGTTCCGAAAACATCAAAAAGATCTTATCGCGGTGGAAATGTTACTTGCTAAGCTGTGAATATTACTTTTACTCACCCTCGAGAACAGCTTGTTTGATATCCTCCTGGCATTGCTCTATGACCGCCTCCAGCTGTGCGGGCGCGGCGGCGGGCGGCACACACAGGGTGCGTCGAGACCCCTCTGTCACTTGCTGCTGTACCTGAAACAACTCAGGTGTGTAAGTTACTAGGTTTGTCAGAGGGAATTGAACTGGTCTAGTGGTAGAGCCCGATACTTTAGTCCCTGAGGTCTCGGGTTCAAATCCCACCAATCACCAATGGATTACTTAAGTGATAATGTCGCAACCCTAATCTGAGGTAATGTGTAGAACAATCCGTAGCGTTCTAGAATAAAGCAGAAACTGTACAACGTTCACAAAATATAGTCGGTTTGAGGAAAAGCGATTCCGTCCACTCCATCACACACTAACTTTGAAACTACAGCCGACAGCTGATCCGTTGATACAGCTAAAAAGTTGTGGAAGAACCCAGGAAACCTTCCGCCTAAATTTTGTGAACTTACAGAAACAGATAATTCCTTAAACGCCTCAATCAGAAGTACCTTGACTATGTCTCCAGCCAAGATAAATCTTCACCCCCGTAGGAGAGATTAATGATTGGGGGTGGGTGTACGGATTTATGAAAACTGGTATTAAAATATAATAGTACACCAAGCACAATACCACTAAATCCGACCTTACTACAATGATTGTGGTTTCGTGGTTATACCACAGATTTGAGAGTGTCTACCCCTTAATCTGTGGTAATACTAATAACACTGCACTAAACCCACAATTAGACTGTATTTATTAAAACCACCAAATACTGTATTAATTTGTTTCGGACTTAATCTTGTATTCTTGATAGAAACGGTTTATGACTTTAACTCGTACAGTATTGCAAATAATTATCCTCGATATCGTTACGAGATCACTCGACTGTGCAAACTATCTCAGAACTTTCCCTTGATCGAGGCCGGTAATGAGGTAAAGCAGTCAACAAATCAATGGCTTGTGACGGTGAATGTAACAAACAAATCTTGTTGGAGATTACGGCTTTATTTGCAAACGGTATTCCAATTATTTTTGCATATTCAAATTGAATACCTCCCTTCCAGCTTACGATGGTATGCGAATTCGATGTCTGGGTAGGGTTTGACAAAGACCAGTTGAACAATTTTGAATTGATTGCCAAATTTATTTTGATACAAAATCACTACTAAACACCCGCACGTTTAATCACTTCATACCGCTTTAAAAACTCTGTACTGACTTAAATACCTTCATACCGATATTGATGATGTCGTACCGTTTTTAATCACTTGATACTGAATAATAGTTAAAATTATAGTTATTAAAATGTTTATACATAGGATGTACTAATCCAACGACCGTTCCCATCCTCTCAAATTGGGGACAAAAATAAAAAATCTGCTCATCAATTTTGATAATGAATGTTACACACACAATTACAACATAATTTACAAGAGAACTCCATCGTTAAAGTCGTCTCCTTTATTTGATTTTGTATCTTAAATCAAAACCGTATGTTGCAATAAATGGTTCAGACCAGTGAATGAGCAAAAGCTAATGCAGTAAATTTAGCCTATCACGTCGTATATACAAGATTTCTCTGTACAGTGTGAAGGTGTTTGGACGCAAGATTGGTCAGTAACAATGACTTGTAAACAGCTGGTCAGTTGCAATGTCTGGGGTCTGTTGCTGACGATGACGAGTCTATGGTAAAGTCCCGATAATCGTGACTCTCATAACCATCTGCAACGCAGCATAACTAACGTCCTGACATCCTCACTTTCACGGGTTACACAACCTCGACTGGTATTTGGCAGACTATCTTGTACCTTACAGAAAATATTAGCGGATTCTTTTTATGATTATTGATTTTAAGTTCATCCGTTGGTAAGATATTTTACTTTGGAATCTTTATTCGAAGGATCCAGTTAAAAGACTAGTGTCAATTAGCCTTCGCGTATATAAGCTAAAAGATGATTATCTCAAAGCAATTTGTACTTCCTTACGTTTCTTGTCAAGGGACGGTCCAAATAATGTTCATGTTACAAGAACGTCGACCTTTTGACAAATATGTAGCTTAACTGATGTATGTGCTCAGTGGTAAATGGTTTACGATATGGGATTTAATGATCGTCCGCAGGTATGGATTTTTATGTGGGAATCTCCGTAACGATCGATCCAAAATAGGGTATAACCGTTTTCATCATGTTGTCTATCCGATGATTGTGTGTGTTACCGTTGGCGTTTTCTAACGTTGTGGTAAAGAAATGGTCTAAACCCTGGTCCTGCAAACAATATTATTATTATATTATAAATTGAAATGCGAACGCCTCCTAGGTGCGTTTCTTAAACAAAATATGAGTAAAGGATGAGTATGGAGTGGAGTGATATTTCTCGTGTATAAGACTAAATGTTTCATTAGCCACGACCATTTATTAAAAACCCAATGATCAAGGACGGCTGGGTCCAGTTTCCGGTGATTTTTTGGTGTGCTATTAAAACACCTTAACCACTCAGGTGCCCAACTATCAAATGACGACCTGTGCTAGGATTACATTTGGCAGCCCTAGTGGTATCTGGATCCAGAATCGATCATTTGAAGAAATTCCGTCGGTTATATATATATATATATACCTTCTCTGTTGATCAAATTTCCTCAACTTCATTCACCCTCTTGGTTTCCAAAAGGTGGTTGCAGCCCTTTTGAATGCCCTTCGATGAAGTTTCATTGAGGAGTCAGTCTCCAGTCTGCATCCGTGCCCAACAATGCCAAAGTGAAGTATGCATGAACCTGTTTGGACTTGTTATGACGTGCTTATTACTGGGGATGTTCTACATGGACTTGTTGGATGTAAGACGTACCACGTAATACTTAACTGATTCATAATTCAAAGCGGTTGTACAATATCCGCCATTACTATTCTTACATGTTTCTTTTGTCGGTCAACCAACAATTACTACTGTAACGTACTTTTCCGTTTCCTGTTATCATGCTTTTTTCCACGCAATGAACTCATCAACAGTTGCTTGACAATCAGAAATGTTATAGGTTATTATGTAGTTTATATGATTAAAAGTTTATGAAAAATAGCGGCTATGACCAATTCACTATGCTAATTTCAATTGTTTTTTTTAATCCTAAAAGACAAAAGTACCACCATCCCATATTCGTGTCATGTTCGTGTGTGACTCGTTCCATAAATTATAGAGTAGTCAATTAAGCCAACAAAATTAAATTTACCTGCAATGTTTCTTCTATTGTTCCCCAATCCGTAGAACATTGAAATAATTTGGCCTAACTGTTATTGCTACAATAATAGATCAGTTTGGAATGTACTATATGTCAAACGGAATACAAGTACAATATGTATTCAATTCAAATCTATTTTATACATTTTAGACACCAATTTGGAGATACTTTATGAAAGAGGATGACCTTGGGACAAAATTAAAAGTTTGTTCCAACGTAAACAAAGAAAGCTATAGACCTCATAGTTGCATAAATTCGAAATGATTACAAAAGGTTCTTTGACAAGGCTTGCGTTCTACTTATCAAAATGCTGTTTTGTTATCATCTAACGTCAACCTTTTTCTAAGGACAAATGGGTAACTCCCTATGGTCCCTATGCAAACTATATTTGACATGTTCTAGATGCATTGAACGTGAGGTCACGTGTGCATTGTAATAATTTACAATGTAATAATCATTGTTAAGATTCAAGTTGAAGTTTGAGATTCAGTGTTGCAATACTGCGTGACCACCTTAGCCCCTCTTACACATTACATATTCCTCGAACGTCAACACAACTTTCGCATCTTTCCCTCACGTTTAAAGTTCGTGTTCGTCCCTCGGTATCGGAACGCTTCAAAGTACCACTTTCTTTTCATTACCACATTACATTCATAATCAGTCATATTTTAAGTCATTAAAGGGAGAAAATTAAACGTTTATTAATACTAGTGGTCGTCCAGTGGTCGAAACTCGACCAAAAATATCCAATGTACAGGCTTCTCTATTATCACCCCACGCTGTAAATAAAACATGTAATTGTAATTTCATCCATTTGTTTTGGTTTTCTGTTTATATTTTGTTGTTATTATATCGTCACCAACAAGGCAACCCATAAGACCCATGTTAATTTTTTAAATTTCAAATTCGTTTTTGCGCATATTTTCGAGCCTATTTGAATTTATAAAGGGATTCTGCACATCTACAGGTAAATATCTTTCTAACAGTATGCGTAGATTTTCCTTGCGATGCACACGAGGTGAGAAACAAGGTTAGGTGCCTACTAATAATGGTTATTTTAAGCGACAACAATCGGCATTGATTATAAAAGCATGTGCACCTGTAGTAAAGGCAATAATTTGTCATTCACTATTGAATATTCAATATTTTAAATGATAGTATGTGCACTATACATATATAGTCAATGATTATACATAAGTCATTTAGGGTCTGACTTAGGGGAGGTACGAATGAGGCATTTAGTTCAAAATTCCTCCGCGAACAGCGCTGTAGTAGAGAGCACTTTGTCAATGAAGGTTTACTATTCGCAAAAATAGTTCTGTTCATAAAATAAAATTATAAATGCCTCAAATTCAATTTTATAATTTTTTAATTATAAAATTAAACTATCATAACCTAACCGAACTAACCAAACTTGCTGATAATTAAATAATATAAAAAAGATTAGTAATAGAAAAAATAATTATGTTTATTAAATAAAACTAGAAATTGCTCAATTAAAATTTTATAATGACTTAATAATAAAATTAAACTGTCATAACCGAACCAAACCAACCAAACTTGCTGATAATGAAAAAATCTGAGACAAAAAGTTAATGCAACCAGCGAGATTCGAACCCGGGACCTTTTGTACGTCAGCCCGGCACGCTAACCACTAGACCACCGCAGGACCACCGAAGCCGTTGTCCACAAACCGTATTGTTACGGTAATAGCGTTCCCTCAGCTAATAAGAAGCCCACAGCTGTCATCGTAGCCTCTTCCGTACCTCCCCTGAGTAAATACCAGTCATTTAAAGTTTCGTACTTGTATACTTGTCCTTACAATTGAAGCAGAAAAAGTTATTTGCAAAGTACGATTGTAAAATCAATCCTACTCAAACTATTAATTCATATTCTAAATATGATGACCAATATTGCCTACTTTTTATTGTTTGAGAGGTATTTCATTTAAAAGTAAACCATTTAAAGTACGTAATTTATCCAAAATATAGAGGGTTCGCCTCTTTTTTAGGTAGGTGTACCTACAGTTTAAGGCAGGATACAAACCACGGCAATAAACTCGTAAGTAAAGTGAAGACTACCTTATTATTATATGGTTAAAACCCATTTGTGTTTGGCGGCATTTTAACCATTTGTGTTTAACGGGGGTCAACTTGCAGACAGAGCAAATTACCGTGTACCTGATTGGGGTTACAGTTACAGTTAAATATTTCCTTAAACATGTTAGATTTATCCCCTATTTAAATAAAATTAGGATGAACAATTACTTGCGTTTGCAGGAAGGGTTATAAAGTGTTTTTTTTTTATAGTTTAGTTTAAAATAAAAAAAATTGCCAAGTTTGAATAAAATACATCAATAACAACCAAATAAACTACAACAGTTCAATTGTTTGTTATTTTATGCTCCACAAAATAGCAAGGAGAAATAATTGGGAAATTCTATGTTCTAAGTATTATGTTACCGGGTCCAGGTCTTACCATGAGACCTACGGTAATAGCTTATCCACAATATAAGAAATTCTCTAAATAAATTTAAAAGTGATAAAGTGCACATTTACATACCTGAGCGCTGGATAGCTGCAGCAACAACAAGGACAGAGCGAATAGAAGCATGGTGAGTCTGCAAGACGAGGAGAGAAGGTGAAAACTGAAGGAGTGAACCTGAGACTAACACGCAGACACTCCCGAGACTGGTGACTTTCCTGCTACACACACACACTGACACACCGACACACGCACACAGTGTTCCGCTCTCGTTGTGATAGTAGTGGTGGAAGGGAGGAAAGTGGGAGATCGGTGGCTCAAATATACATCCAGGAATTATGGGAGAGGATCTTAGCTGGACCCAGCTGTTTACTGGAGCTGGTAATTAACTGTGGTAATTCAAGTTCTTTGTAAGTCCCCCAAGTAAAATTAAAACAACAAAACATCGATAAAATATATAATATCTATAATCCACTAATGTAAGTGGTTATAGGAAACATTGACCAAGTAAATGGACTCTAAGTTGTGTCAGAGAACCCCGTCTGCAAATCGTAATACTATGTTTTGGTCAGACATAGAAAGATTGTTATTTTTTAATATATCGATGGTACAAGACTAACCTGTTCGATACTTATCAATATCATATAGATGTAAAATATCCCTACTGTGTTGCTATATACATCACTCACAGAAAGCTGAAGATGAACACGCTTTCTTAAATTACTCCAGGAAAAGCGGAGATAATAATTTCAGTTAGAAACATCATGGTTGTAGCTTTTATCTAAGTAGTTTAATGTTAATTTATTACTACCTGCTGTGCTCGTGCGTAGGGTAAAAATGCTGAAACCTCAAAGATTGTTAAAGTTTGTAGTTCGTTAACATTATCGATGGATTTAATAAATGAAGGCAGTGCCACTGAATACACTTTTAAATTTGAATTAAGTAATATTAGTAATATTAGTTAGTATTAAGTAATATTTAGCTCTTTGGTTTTAAAATTGTTATTCAATTATCTATATGTTTAGGCAATTTAGTCCAATACTTACGTGCCGGTTATAGCTCCATCATGTAACAAAGTAAAAACAAATCCAAGCAATACTTTTCTGTATTATAAGATCAAATACAGATTAAAACAAGTATTTTTTAGAAACAAGTACGTTCACAGTTGTGATGTTCTTGTATAATCTGGAAACATTGGCATCAATTATACCAAAATTGTTTACGATCAAAAATGCACAGTTGATGACTTGTACAATGAAGGTTGACCGTGGATCGTCCAAGCGTGGAGTATTCTCTCACACTCTTGACCGCTTACCTCTACAGATCCAGAGATAACGGAGGTAATAGAGGAAACGCGACTGATGAGTGCCTTGGCAGGCAAATGTATCCCTAATGGCTGTTTGATTGAACGGTTGACGAGGTGAAAATCGCATGACAGTGACGTATGTAAGAAAGGCAAAGGACGTATGTGTGTTTAGTTCTAGATTTTTGAAGAGTGTTAGTTTTATTGAGATTGGAAACTTTGTAATCAAATAAGTCAATAACGGCTGAACATATTAAAGCCAAATTTACCAGGGTTACATCTACAAACAGTGAACATGTTATTAGAAAAACAAATTAAAATTTGATAATGTCTGTACAATTTCAAACTAAAATACATTTTTTAATTTACCTTATGGGTTGCTATGATGGTATTCATTAACAAAACGTATATGTAAATAATAAAAGACTAACAACATTTATTATCACAAATCATCTACAGTAAAATAGCAAATTACAAAGACAGTAGGTACAAAAGAAAAGGACAGTCCGATGAATAGAATTGAGCATTGATTAATGCACAGATTCACACAAGTAATTACTGTAGGCCTTACCGAAATATTCCAAGCATGTTATTTATTTTGATTGTTCTTATTGCTATTAGTTTTGTAGCAAATATTGCTTTATATACTATAAAGAAAGTCTTCATTATTGAAAACCTTAATTTCTGAAGCAGGAATTCAGTAATATCAAATGTTGACAACAGTAGCCTATCCTATAAATACAGTGATTGCCAAGGCCTGTACAAAAGTCCAGTTACAACAACTTTAATAAGTAAACCTAGGCTTTAAAAGAAGTCCACTTTTAACTCAGGTGTGTAAATAGGTACATCGTAGCCAACCTAGGGTGGACGGTAAATCAGGCTGTGGTGAGTAGTGGCGAACCCAGAAAGAGCCATCACTTTAGGCACGTTTTCCCCATAAGAATAACATGGTGAGCTTTTTTTGACCACTTTTTTAAAAATCCAGCTCTCGGCCTATACAAGCCTATATAAATGTTCAATACCATTGTATAACACTATTAAAATTTCAAATCCACATCCATTCTCATATATATTCTCAAAATCATCAACTTGATAGTGCGAGGTTTGTACGCAAACTCGGGCATGCTCCCCCATATAAAATACATGCTACCCATATAAAATAATGTTAAATTTTTTTCTTACTTTTTGATTTTTTTATGTTGTAATATTGTTTATAATCAAAAGTTGACACCCACTACGTTTGCCAGAATTTCAACCGTTTTGCCGTATCTCAAGCCGTTTTCGAGATATAAGCGTTTTTAGATAGTTTTTACGGACTTAGACGATTTTTCATGGTAAATTTTATTCCTACCCATATAAAATAATGTTAAATTTTTTTCTTACTTTTTGATTTTTTTATGTTGTAATATTGTTTATAATCAAAAGTTGACACCCACTACGTTTGCCAGAATTTCAACCGTTTTGCCGTATCTCAAGCCGTTTTCGAGATATAAGCGTTTTTAGATAGTTTTTACGGACTTAGACGATTTTTCATGGTAAATTTTATTTGTACCCATATAAAATAATGTTAAATTTTTTTCTTACTTTTTGATTTTTTTATGTTGTAATATTGTTTATAATCAAAAGTTGACACCCACTACGTTTGCCAGAATTTCAACCGTTTTGCCGTATCTCAAGCCGTTTTCGAGATATAAGCGTTTTTAGATAGTTTTACGGACTTAGACGATTTTTCATGGTAAATTTTATTCCTACCCATATAAAATAATGCTAAATTTTTTTCTTACTTTTTTATTTTTTTATGTTGTAATATTGTTTATAATCAAAAGTTGACACCCACTACGTTTGCCAGAATTTCAACCGTTTTGCCGTATCTCAAGCCGTTTTCGAGATATAAACGTTTTTAGATAGTTTTTACGGACTTAGACGATTTTTCATGGTAAATTTTATTTGTACCCATATAAAATAATGTTAAATTTTTTTCTTACTTTTTGATTTTTTTATGTTGTAATATTGTTTATAATCAAAAGTTGACACCCACTACGTTTGCCAGAATTTCAACCGTTTTGCCGTATCTCAAGCCGTTTTCGAGATATAAGCGTTTTTAGATAGTTTTTACGGACTTAGACGATTTTTCATGGTAAATTTTATTCCTACCCATATAAAATAATGTTAAATTTTTTCTTACTTTTTGATTTTTTTATGTTGTAATATTGTTTATAATCAAAAGTTGACACCCACTACGTTTGCCAGAATTTCAACCGTTTTGCCGTATCTCAAGCCGTTTTCGAGATATAAGCGTTTTTAGACAGTTTTACGGGCACTGTCACAAGGGCCAAGTGAAGCGGTCACGAGACTGGGGAATCCTCAGGTGGTGACGTCACCGGGGACGAGTCTATATATAGAAGTGGCATCCGGGTGATATTTCATTCTCGAGCGTGATGCCGACCTGTCAACACTGCTCCGCCTCGCTGTCCAAGAAGAGCAATTTGGTCCGCCACTACAAGCTAGTACATCAAATGAAGGTGAAACTGTGCAAGGTATGTGATTTAATCTGTGATGATAATGTGGTTCTAAAATCGCATATATTACAAAGTCATAAGAATTGTAATTTTTGTAAGAAAAATGTGGTTGGTCATTTTAAAAGACATGTCAATTCTTGCAATAATTGTCCATATACAATGATTGAATTTGTTGGTGAATCGATTAGAACTGAACTTAAAAATACTCTTCAGTCTTGTCCTCTGCCAATAAAATGGACTTTAGTAAGGAGAATTAAATTTATAAAATATTCAATGGATCAAAGTGGACAATTAGTTAATGAAAAAGAATGTATTGCAGATTTTAGAAGCCTTACTACCTTAACTATTGAGAAAAGAGATTTAAAGCCTCAAATTGAAAATGCACTTTTAAAGATTGATGCTTCCATACACAAATACCAAGCCCAAGGCAGTGGATGGATATATGACCATACTAAGTATTGGAAGTTGCACGTTTACAAATATAAGCCCTTAACTCCAAAGTCATATATTCCCACACCAGAGAGTATTAAATCGAAACATGCAGTTTTAAATATAAAAAATGATGATAATAAATGTTTTCTTTGGTCGGTATTAGCAGCTTTATATCCAAGGAACTCTAATGAAAATGCTAATAGAGTCTCCAGCTATGCACCCTACATAGGTCATCTGAATATGACAAACATAAAGTATCCTGTGAAAATATCTGATATAGATAAATTTGAAAGACAAAATAATATAAGCGTTAATGTATTTGGGGTTGAAGATGATAAATGTATATATCCATTAAGAACAACCAAACTAAATAGTAATACTCACATCGATTTATTATTATTTCAAGAAGGTCGTAAATCACATTACTGTTTAATTCGTGATTTTAATAGGTTAATGTTGAGATCTACAAAAGATAACAATAAGAAGTATTTTTGTAAGTTGTGTTTGCAACATTTTTACACTAATGATATATTAGAACGTCACATAACATATTGTAAAAATTTTGATGCTCAACGAGTGGAAATGTCTAAACAAGATACATTACAATTTAAAAATTATAAATATCAACTTAAAGCCCCATTTGTGATTTATGCAGATTTTGAATGCTTTATAAACTCTAATAACCATACTCCATCTGGATTTGCATTTGTCTTAGTGAGAGATTCTAAGATTATTTCTGAAGAGTTATATAGTGGTGCAAATGTTATGGATGTATTTTTCAAAAGGTTATTTGAGACTTATGACTTCATTAAACGTCAAATGTCGATATATATTCCTCTTGTAATGACTCCTGAACAAGAGGCATCTTTCCAAAACTCAACGCATTGTCATATTTGTGAAAAACCCCTATATTTTGATAGGGTGCGAGATCATTGTCATTCATCTGGCCGATACCGTGGAGC